AAAAGTGCCACCAAAACAGTATGAAACAACAAGACATACACCTTATACATGTATAATTAAGTCTCTTAATCTGTTCATTTGAAAATTCTCTTAATGACTTTTTTTTTAATATCCTCTTCTTAAAATGTATTTCAATTAAAATATGTGACCCTTCACTTATAGTTACACAGCATGTGGCTGGATCACAATAAAGTTCCTTTTTTAGTAAATTAATAAAGTATGTCAAGAAGACATTTAACTTTATCAGTAAGTTTAATATGGTATTATATATCAGCAATAGGTGAAAAAGAATTCCTTTATTTCTTTTACATTCTTAATTGTCATTTAAATATGCATGTATAAATGAAGTCAGTATTTTATCGGCAGTCATTAGCGGTAAACAAGAAGGCAAACATCTATTGATAAATGTTGAGAACATGTATTAAAACATTTAAAAAATATTAAACAACAGTACTTGTACGGAGCCTATTTGCTACCATTAACACATTGATACTTTTCAATAGTATTTAATAATGCACAAATTTATTTAAAAATAATGAATAGATTTATTTCCCCGATATTTTTTTTTTGAAGTTTAATCTTCATGCGTAACACACACTTACCTGCTAGACACACTGGTTGCTACTACCAGCTTTCACGGAATCGATTTTTTACGATGACGTCATAACATGTCCGCCGGAGATAGTGTATACAGTACAAATTTGAAATAAATCGCATGTATGCGTTAAGACAGGTACAATCTAATATTTTTTCTAGGAGAAGTTAGTACTAGAATTTATATTCTATTGATTTTTAGAGGACATTGAAGTTAATTTCAGGTTTAAGCAGTAAAAATCAGTCCAAACTATCGATAGAGTTGCCGGTAGATTTTCCGTGCGTAAAAATGACAGTTAAAATTAGGCGTAACGGTTTGACAGTAAGAAAAAAAAGTCTGTAAAATGGGTCAAACCGTTCACGCCAAATTAATTAGGCTACCTTTCGTACATAACTATGGTGGCTGATTTGGTACGCTCTTGTGCGTCTATTTGGCACTAGCGACAGCACGACAAAGCGCCAAACGGCGCGTTGTCGGACTTTCGTCTTGTCGTTCTGTCGCTAGCGACAACACAACTAAGTGTCAAACGGCGCGTTGTTGCGCTGTCGTCTTGTCTCTAGCTCGGCACGCCAAAATGCCAAACTGATTCAATACAATGCATAAAAGAAGACCTTAACCTACATCAGCTTACATATATTTGATAATCACATCCTGTGACTCAAAATACCTGCCAAGGGGGGAAAAAGAGATACGGATACACTGAATTTTTTATTTCAAAATAAAAAGGGGGCAAATTTTCAAGTTTTTTGGGGTTTTAAAAAAAGAAAAAAGAAAATTTTTGGTTATCATTGGTAAAAAATTTTTGGGTTTTTCAACAACCCGATTTAGTCCTTTAAAGAAAGAAGACACAGGCTTACTGTTCAGTTCTCATGATTCGTGTTGTCAACTTCCATGTATCGCATTCTAGTGTGTACACCGTAGGGAACGTGTTACAGTATCGCGTTTTCCGGTTACAGTATAGAATTTAAAAGATGGAGGATTATATGTGGGGAGTAAAGGTATGTGATTTTTATTCAGGTCCAAACTACATGTAGTTTAGTTTCTATAAGATCTTTTTGTGCTTTGCTTGTAAGGAACAGAGTCTGGTATCTAGTCATTCATTTATTCAGACCCTGCACCGCAGATTTATCTCTATATTGTCTCATAAATATGCAGATTTGAAAATTTGAATCGAGAGACCAACGCATTTTTCTCCCATTCCGACATTATTTATGCATGCATAGAAAAAGTAAATCTGCAAAACGCTAGTCCTTTATGTTAGGAAACGTTTATAAACTTAAATGTGGTACCAGTTGAACGTATTTCCTGTTGTGTTTGAAAAAAATCCAACAATGTTACAGTATAGAGCGAGGTGATAGGTACAAGGGGGTGCTCTTCTGTTTTGGGGGTCGCCAGACCCCTCATCTCCAAGAAAATTTTGGACTTGTGAGAGGCTAAAATGGCCTCAGATCGACATTAAGGTTACGTGTAACCAACGCTGAAAAGCCTGTGACTCAATCTCAATCCATTGAGAAGTTGCAGCACTTTGAATTCAGTTTTGATGGAAAAATCAACAGAAAAAAGTGATTTTGGGCAATTTTGAGATGTCCCCTCGTTGCCATGATAACAATAAATTTAAGATTGAGTATGCGGTTACAAAGGTTATGGTCCAGCTAACATTTTTGTCAAGTTTGAACAGCATTGAAGCCTTTTTAATAGTTTCATAGCAATTTGAACTTTGAACAATAGGCTTTTCAATGAAAATAGCCATTTTTCACAAAATGCTCATGAAGTAATGGGTTAACGTGCTATGATAGTTAATATCTATTGTTTTTATTGTTTTATTTCTCTTATAGATATTTACGTTTAACAGACATATTATGCAAAATAAACAAGTGTCAATGCATTTTGATACTTTAATTTTAGTATAAGTAACATATTCCACGATGAAATTCATTGTTAATGGTCCTTGATGTTGGAAATATGTAAAGATACTATTAATATTTCATGTTTTATTTAATGTCTATGCTAGAAAAACTAAAAAAGTATTTTTTCGCCAATAAAAATGAGTAGGTTTGTCACAGAGTTCGTGTATGTTGCTCAACAAAAACAGTTTTCATGAGGACGTAAATCAGTGAAACCATTTTCATATTTTAGGAGCCTGGCCATGCAGTCTGCCCTCATTGCAACTTCTCGTTTAGAAGCGTGAACTACCCGAGGACTTCCTTCCTTACATGATCGAGCCAGAAGGGCTTATAAAGTGCCGTATAAGCAATGAGTGTAAGAACATTTAAAGTATTTGTCCCAGATGTTGCTTCAAATTGACGTTTGATGAAATAAGTGGTAAATTATTATTTTTATGCCTCATACATTTGACATTCCTTAACCTGAGACAAGGAAGCCCAAAAGAAAATAAGCCAACATACCAGACTACAGAATGCCCTCAAGAGGCACCCAGCCAGTAAGACTGCTTTTTTAAATTAGATTTTTCCCCACATACGACAATGGCTTAATTATGAACAGGGGTAAGAAAAAATTGTATAATAGTATTAGTTAAACAAAGTGCTCATTCAGATAGGGGAGAATGTAGAATGAATAAGAGTGATAGAGGCCAAGGTGCTAGCCGAAGATTATATTTGTCAGTCGGGCTATATTTTCCTGTTTGTTCCGTCAGCAACTTATATAATTGATTTTTAATAGTACAAATTCTTCTTCATTTTCTCAAGATAATAGAAGGATAATAAGAGTATAATACAACGCTTCTACCATTGAAGCTCGATGAAAGGTGCGCTTTTAAAAACAGATAACAAAGGCAATTTAAGTATATAATAATCTTTCGCGCTGTTAATATTTTTACATTTTAAAGGCACAATATTCCTCAGAAATAAATACATATAATTTTCTCTAAAAGATGCTAACATGTTTTAAGAATTAAACTGAAGCATGATACGCGCTTATCATTTGAACAGATAAGTGATTGACGTGAAATAATACGCCATAAATATAGGAAAATGTAAAAAAGTGCTATTTTGACTTCCATTCAAAACGCTTAAGCACTATAACTATACTAATGACTTATATGCCATAGATGCATAAGGTGAATGCTATTTGGCCAATAAGCCGTATTTAGGAAACTGAAACAAAACACCAAGAGTGTTCTAAAAGCTTTTGAAAAATATGAATTTTAGCATTTTTGGGTTCAAATGGCCTTTAATGAAATAATGGTATTTGAATCCAGAAATATGCCTAAGGAAATAATAATCTGGAAACAAAGTGACCCCTTGGAAGCATTAATCACAATACATCAAAATTGCAGACTCGGTTTGAATAATGAATACGTGCAACTTCCCTCACGACCCCTAGCACCAGCTTGAGCGGTACTCAATTCTCAACACTTAACTGTGCTGGCATCAATGATCTCGAAGGACACGATATAACAACATTGAATTGAAGTAAAGACAACGTTTTACAGCTGCCAAACAGCACTTGACACCTGCTGTTGTGAAGCATAATAATCTGGAAACAAAATGATCCCCCGGAAGCATTAATCACAACAAAATTACATGAAAATTGCAGACTCGGTTTGGTTGACTCTGTACATGAGGGATTATGAAAAAGTGTAACATCCCAATCTCCACACAGTGATCTCCCCTTAATTTTTCGGCGAAGATCTCTGCCACCAAGGTCCCGATATATCAGAATTTCTGATATACTATATTTTTTCAAAAATTGTTTTATCTACTGCTTTTATCTATCAGATAAGTTTTCTCTCATTTATTTAACAATGTTTATGAATAAATATATAAATATTATGAATATTTAGAAATAATTTTAAAAATTATGAGATTATTTGCTACCGAGACGATATTTTGATATTTTATATTTTTCAGCTTTTTAATTTATTTTTCGTTATTTTGTATACTTTCGATAATTTTTTGATAAACTATATCGAACGTAGGCACTAAAGGTTTAAAATAAAACAGAAATAGAAAAATAACGTTAGATTTTCTTTGTAACGGTCGATATTTACATTTGAATTTCGACGTTACGTCATGTGACTTTCATCATCATGTGACGTCTTTGAAGGCAGTGATTACAATTCTGCCAAGGGAGGTAATCACTGTTAGGAGTTTGGTAACATCCATCCCTCACGCCCTCTAGCACCAGCTTCAGCGGTACTCAATTCTCAACACTTAATAGTGCTGGCATCAATGATCCCGAAGGACCAGAAAAATATAACAACACTGAATTGAAGTATGGGGAAACCTTTTACAGCTGCCACATAGCACTTGACACCTGCTGAAAATTGCAGACTCGGTTTGAGTCTGTACATGAGGGATAATGAAAAAGTGCAACGCACTAAGATAATTGATATGCATGTTCAGAAGTCTACGAAGCAAGGAACGAAAACATGTAATTTGTGCGACTTTATTGTCCTCATACGGCAGTATACAATTTGAGATAAAGTATATTACAATGAGAAAGCGTCAACAACGTTCAAAGAAGTGTAAGGTTTGTAGTAATGTATACTCTATGAATGTTGACATTATTTTCCTTAGTAAAGCTTAAGTTTTCAAAATTTAAACACATTAACATGATTAAAACATTAACTTGAATACAGTGTTAAAAGTGTTCAATCCTCTATAGATATTAATTTAAGCCTTCCTGAAATGTAAGGAAAATAGCTAAGTTTTCACCTGTGCTATATCTGTGATATAAAACATAAACTATACAAAACATAAACTATACAAGTACAATTTTCTAGAACAAATACTTCAAGCAATAACGCATATGCCATTTAATTAATAAAAATCAATTTGAACACAGTTCTCCTTCCTAAATCAGAGAAAAAAGACATTTTACATATACACTCGCGCGAAATCTTTTTGCAAAAATAAAAAAAAACAGCAAAATATCTTTCAGTTACCTTTAACATTAAAAATTAGAGCCTTGTTTGTGCTTAATGTGTGTATTTAGCTGGAATTTCCGGTCAGATAATGTGTATCTCTGAATGTTCAATGTTGTGAAATGAAAATATTGTATGTATTTGGATTTTTTTTTTCGTAGAGAAATTTTTGCGCTTTGGTTGTTGAACTATTGTCGTTTCGCACGTCACAACCCAGTGTTAATGCTGATTTTAGTTAAAACTAAATATTACAAAAATGTACCTTTTTTGTATTTTTCAGTACATTGAAAAAACAAAACAACAACAAAAAAAAACAACCAACAACACTCCCACACATAACTGCATTTGACTTTTCAATTGTAAAATGAAGTCCGTCACTTACAATATACATTTTAATAATTTGATATAATAAAGTACACACACACACACACGCACGCACGCACGCACGCACACAGAAGCAGAAGCCATATCAAATTTCACCAGAAATTTCTTCAATCTTATTCTTTATCAATATTTCTTTCGGATGCATTTTCCGATCCATTTTGAACAACATGAAAATGTTCCAGCCGTCAACAACAGTACCGAAAAATGCTGTTATCAATGTCATTATATCAACATGCAATTTGTTTGAAGTAGGAACTTTCGAATGGAGCGTTTGTGCTTTAGAACGCATTTTACTGACAGGTGTATCTCGCTGCATTTTAGTTGTTTCTGTACTTGTTAACTGTGACCATATTCTTTGAAAAACCTGTTCTACAACACGGATTTGGCTATCTGAATTGTTATTGGAAATTTCCCCATCTATTTGGTCAAAAATACTAAGAACTTCTTTTGCCATATCTTCCGCATTGTTCGTCATTCTTCTTGTTTGGTAGCTTGTAAATTCATTCATTATGCGATTTGGAGAAACCATCAACTTTTCGGCATGTTCTCCTAACAATTTCATAGAATCTGCCAAATCTTTACTTTGAGTTTTCCAGTCGTTCTCAGTTCCTACAGGTATTTTGATCTCATTTATCTGCATCCCATCACTAAACCAACCCTTTGTAGACTTCTTGATATCTACCATTGCTTTGTTAGCTTCGGTCATTGCTTTTAATGCATTTTCCACTTGATGGTTAATTTCGTAACCTTGTTTTGCATACTTCTGGACTTTTTTTACAGATTTCTGAATTCTTGATTTTTCCAGTTCCGATCTGATATCTATTTTAAAGTCAGATACATTCTCAAGTGCCTCAGTTGTATTATCAAGCATTCTACAAATTTCTTCAACGATAGCTTGCTGATTTTTCTGTTTTTTGTGATTAAGGAGTTGAAATTCAAGTTTACTTTCTTTGAGTGCATCTAGATTTTTGTTAGCTTCTTCAAGAAGTTTAAGATTTTGCACAAGTTTAAATGTCGGTAATACTTTTGCTTCTTCTCTCGCCTGTAAACATATTCCTGCCGACTCTAATACACCAAGGGCATGTTTATAAAAGTCTTCCTTTTTATGAGTGGCTTTTTCAATTTCAGTTCTTTTCTTCTTTAATGGGTTATTGGAAACAGGTATGTTTTGAATTGTAATTTGTCCTTCCAATAAAGCTTCTTCTGTACTTATTTCTGCTGGTATTTTCACGCCGGGAATGGCTTCAACTACTTTACACGGACTGCCTTGAAATAAAGGATATATTTCTTTCAACATTGTTTTCAACTGCTCAATTTCGCATTTTTGTCGCTTAACGACAATCAAAGCTTTATCGAGAACGCCATAATTTCGGTTTGGAAGGTTTTCTCGATATCTTTTAGTTAAATCCCATAGGAATGATGCAAAGGGGAAAGCAAATGTCAGTGAAGGATGGCTGCTGGTGTTAAAAGTTACCGGACTTTTTGGACAGACCGTTCTAACTTTTTGCATCGAATATTTTGGACAGACCTCTCTAACTTTTTTCATCGAATCATGGTATAATCTGTTAATTTCTCTTTCTGTCTCTTCTAATGATTTCCGTCTATAGATCAAGACATAGACCCAGACGAAATGTTTTAAAATGTATAACAATGTGAAAAGTCTTGGTGATGTATTTGCTTTAAAAGCAGCAAAGGCACTCACAATGTTGCCTGCAAATGACCAACCATAACTTGTAAATTGTGACCAAAAATATTTTTCACGACACCTATGCATTTTATCTCTTGTTTCTTGTAATATTTTTAACGTGTCCTCGTCCATTCCGCCTGTTTCCCCGAAATGAAGTTCTAAATAACGTGTGTTTTAAATCAACCTGTGTTAAAAAAGAATAAACATAATTTAAATGAACTGATAATCTTAAATGTAACTGTTTAAAAGTATAGATCTAAAGAGAAATGTTGAAGCCTTTAATGCAAAATGCCCCGATCTTCAAATCTGTGTTGTTCAGTTTATCTGATCCTGTATTTTCATTGAATTAATTTTTTTATTGCTAAAGATAAATCATATACGTTTTTTGGGTAGGTCGGTGCTAAAATCTAACTATTGGGTGTAACGAAAAGATTCAATTATACCAAGTCTGATGCTTTTTGTATATTACTTGTATTTTTGTTCCACTAATGGGAACCTAGCTAGCGTTTCAATAAATAACTTAAAAATTTACAAGAGCCAGGTGAAAATGGCCATACCCCGCCGAATGGGTTTGCTCATTGGAAGAATGCATATAAAGTAGTAATAATTCAATTTTAAGAGGTCTTTTGGTAATGAAAATTAATGGCTGAAGTGATTACAGATTTGAAACCTATGTGAATACTGATGACTGAAAATAACAAAGGGCAATAACTGAAAAATAATGCAGGGTAGGTTATTGTTCTTGTGCACTGCACCCCTCCACAGTAAAATCTATCCACCTATGAAGTTTCAAGTTTTTACCTCAAATACTTTTTGAGATAAGCTCCGGACAAAAAAGTATGAAAAAGAACAAAGGGCAATAACTCAAAAATTATATAGGGAAGAGTTATCATTCTTGCGCACAGCATTCTTCCGCAATAAGATCTAACCACCTATGACATTTCATGTTGGCATCTCAAACACTTTAGAGTTATGCTCCATTCAGGTGAAAAATTAGGTATGAAAAAAAAAAACAAACAAAAGGCAATAACTAAAAAAAATGAAAGGTAGAGTTATCATTCTTATGCACTGAATACCTCCTGAGTGATATCTATGTACCTATGAAGTTTCATGTTGATATCTCAAAAGCTTTTAAAGTTATGCTCTGGACAAAAATTAATTTTGAAAAATAACAAAGGGCAATAACTCGAAAATTATGCTGGGTAAAGTTATCATTCTTGTGCACTGCACTCCTCCTCAATGAGGTTTATCCACCTATGAAGTTTCAAGTTGATACCTCAAATACCTTTTGAGATAAGCTCCGGAAAAAAATAGTATGGAAAAGAACAAAGGGCAAAAACTCAAAAGTTATTTAGCGAAGAGTTATCATTCTTGCGCACAGCATTCCTCCTCAATAAGATCTATCCACCTATGACATTTCATGTTGATATCTCAAACACTTTTTGAGTATTGCTCCACTCAGGTGAAAAATTAAGTATGAAAAATAACAAAGGGCACTAACTCAAAAATTATGAAAGGTAGAGTTATTATTCTTGATATGTCAAAGGCTTTTTGAGTTATGCTCTGGACAAAAATTAATTTTGAAATATAACAAAGGGCAATAACTCAAAATTTATGCAGGGTAGTGTTATTATTCATGCGCACAGCATTCCTCCGTAATAAGATCTATTCACCTATGACATTTCATGTTGATATCTTAAACACGTTTTGAGTTATGCTCCACTCAGGTGAAAAATTAAGTATGAAAAATAACAAAGGGCAATAACTCAAAAATTATGAAAGGTAGAGTTATTATTCTTGATATGTCAAAGGCTTTTTGAGTTATGCTCTGGACAAAAATTAATTTTGAAATATAACAAAGGGCAATAACTCAAAATTTAGGCAGGGTAGAGTTATTATTCTTGTGCACTCCACTCCTCCTCAATGAGGTTTATCCACCTATGAAGTTTCAAGTTGATACCTCAAATACTTTTTGAGATATGCTCCGGACAAAAATGTCGGACGGAAGGACGGACGGAGACTATTTCTATATCCCCCGCCGCCTTTTCGGCGGGAAATAAAAATGTATCATGCAATGTTATGTATAACTACCGACACAATACCATTTATATATCAAGGACACTGGGTTTGTATAGTTACAGGTATTTAGATCTCAAGGTAAAAGAAGTTACACAAGTAACTGTTCACAACGAAAGCCTAAAAGTGTCAAATAAAATTAAAAAAAATAAAAATGCAAAGGCGTTATAACGCGAATAAAGGCATTATTACGCGAATCAATTTAAGGCGTTATAACGCGAATAAAGGCGTTATAACGCGAATCAAAAGGCGTAATAACGCGAATCAAAAGGCGTTATAACGCGAATAAAAGCGTAGCAACGCGGATAAAGGCGTTATATAACTCGAATCAAAAGGCATAATAACGCGAATAAAGGCGTTATAACGCGAATCATAAGGCGTATTCTAACACGACCCATTTTTCCCTATTGAACATAGAAGAACAGAAAGTGTGTGTTATTATGCAACAGATGCACAGTTTGACGTTCTATATTTAGACATGTGACGTAATCATTATACACGCGACGTAACCACTAAAAATCCGACGCGCTGAAAATAAGTACGGAAACAAATCAGGCGCAATTTTGCTTAGCTATCAAGTACGGCAATATTTATTTGTTGATATCGTGTTAGAATCGGATTAATATATCCAAATTAGTGATTTTATCGCTTGATAACATCACTGTTTGTCGTTCGGATGCGCATCATTATATCACTCGGGCTACGCCCTCGTGATATAATTCCTCGCATCCGAACTCCAAACAGTGATGTTATTGAGCGATAAAATCACTGTTCGGGATATATTATTTCTTAAATAACGCGAATAAAGGCGTGATAACGCGAATCAAAATGCGTAATAACGCGAATAAAGGCGTAATAACGCAAATCAAAAGGCGTAGTAACGCGAATAAAGGCGTAGTAACGCGAACCATAAGGCGTAATGACGCAAATTAAAACGCATTATAATGCCAATTTAAAACCGTATTTATACTAATCAAATTGCCTAGTAACGCGAGAAAGATTTAAACTCCTATAGAATAATACAATATACATTTACAATAACTATCATTCCATTTGCACAGTAATAATGCAAACTATTTGTCATAAACTAATGAATACTCTTTAATATTTGCCAATATAAGATGACTTGGTGTCTACGTTCAATTAAATTTTAGAAACTGACTTTAATTTATAGTTTTTGAGGGTAATATCAGAGACATGACAGTAGATACACTTTGCATCGGAGAAATGACGAGATTCCTGTGCCCTCCCCCTTTAAAATCCTTCTCAAAAGTAGTAAAAAACAACCTATAAAAACAAAACGCACACACGCACAAAAGAAATGAATTTGAGCACGTTATAATTATTAAATGTGATATAGCTTGTTTACTTGCTTATGAAAAATGAATATATAAATAAAATTTACCTGCAAAATTACCACTGCAATGAACCAATTTGAAAACACCCCATCCAAAGTCTTACTCAAATGATAATGTTAATCTAATAAGTGTCAACATTTCATAACATTGTGGAGATCTATGCATACGCATCATCTCATTATTTGGAACACTTTGATATAATGATTTTATCTTTATAAGTTCAAAAGCACTGCAAATATATGAGATATTGAATAATTATTTCACACAAAATAAAATGTAACCTATGAATTGCCAGCATTTTCACCACACGATGATCCAACCAAATTTTCACGACACTTCTGCATTTCATCGCTTGTTTCTTGTAATTTTTTTAGCGCTTGTGAAGTTTCCTTTCAGTATGTTTCACCGAAATGGACTAATAAGTAACGTTCGTTTAAATTAATCTGTGTAAATAATTTCAACTAACTGATAATCTTAAACGTACCTTTTTGAAAAATAACACTCACAAGTATAGGTTTAAAGAGAAAGATTACAGCGAAAAAATGCCTCGATGTTCAAATCTGTGTTATTAAATTATTTGATTCAGCGCGTTTTTTATTGAATAAATTGTTTTAGTGCTTATTATAAATCATAAAAGTATCAGACCAAATCCCACGCACCGGTTACGCTACGGCCATCTTATCTTGTTAGAGGTGACCACTGCGTGGGAGATTGGTAGCAGACAAAACCTTTTAAGGGATGGGCGCGGCCATTAGCTGTGGCCTATGATATTGATAACAAATGTCACATGCTCACCTACCCTGTATGTTATGAAAAAATAAGTAGCAACTCAATTAGATTAGATTCAGTATTCTGCGGATATTTCTAAATTCAAAATTTCACCATTTTCATGTCAATTTTCATACTAAATTCTGCTTAAGCCGGTGCTAGGGGGGTGTGAAAGGCAGCTTGAAATTTTTAGTACCGACCATGAATAGATTGAATCATACCGAGTCGAATATTTTCAATTTTGGCGTTTAGAGTGTTCATTATAAATTGTGGTTTTCTCTATTTTAATGTCAATGTTAAGTGATATCTTTGTGAAGTAGGTCCACTGAGCTGTTGCAATGATTACAGTTGATAAAATTGTTTTGAAGATCATGTACATTTGTATGTAAAATTTAAACTAGATTAACATGTCTAATCACTGAAAGCGCATACAATAAATATGCCTATATAGATGTTTAATTTTAAAAGGAAAGTTGGCAAAGTTGACTGATGAAAGTAGTTAGTTTTTTCAGAGATGTTATATTTGAGATCCTTGAAGATGTTCAGCACGACACTATTGTTGTGTTTGTGGTAGTTTTAGTTCTTTCTATTTGGCTTTTTGTTGTTGAGTAGTTCCGGTAATCTTTTTTCTTGAAAAAAAAGAGTATAATATTGATCACCCATTTGATACATGTTGCCTGATTTTTAAAGTGGTCTATTCTATGACAGCTTTTCCTTCATAACCTTATAAATAAATTCCATATCATAATTTCGTTTTGTCCATTGTTCTATAGTTTAGGGCACACGCCTTCATTTACTTTATTTTACCAAACGCCGCTTTTTATGGAATGGCACTAACATGTTTCATTGAAGGTTCTATGATAACCATCGATCGTTTTAAGACATCTGCGGTTGATACTTAATTTGAAATTTCACCCATACCATGTAAGCGAGAACGGTAATTTGCACTTTCCAGTACAGTCAAACAAACCTGAAACATTTTCAATATGTACTTTAGAGATACTGTGTTTTTTTATTGCATATGAGCATATAGGACACATACTGCTCCGTCGTCTGTCCATCATCCATTGCTCACTATCTGTTTAACGTGCTTAAACAGCTTCATGTACATATTACATATTAAGTAACATAATTAACAAGTATCAAAAGTAGCTATACAGTAATGTGCCTGATACCATTGTGTATAACGGCGTGTTGGCCCCAAGAATTCTAAAAGAGGCGTACATGTAGTTTGCACGATAGCAGTTTTTAAGTCTGATTTGTTAATTTACGCATCAGTTAGTCCTGGTTTCAGTTGCAATTAAGGCCGGATAGCAGGCATCCTTTAGGGACCGTATAAGAGGGTTAATGTTTACTAACCGTTTATTATTAAAAAAAAACGAGATTGCATTTGTGAAAAATGCTATGCCACACTAAATAGCAGTGTAGGAACTGAAGATTTTTTTGTCTGTATACAATTGAACTTTGCCTCAATGTAGTTGTGTCGAGTGAATTTGTTCGGTCAATATCATATTTCAGCCTGTTAAAAGAACGACAAAGATGTGTGTAATGTTTAGATACAAAGGCCATAGTGCAAGAATTGATTCAAAATAGAAATAGTATTCGTACGTGACAAAATTTAGGTATTTACTATATAGCAAAGCTGTTTTAAAGCAGCATGCATCCAGATGACGAAAATATTTCGATGAATTCAAATTTGAGAAACGTGTACACAGATTTTCGGAAAGGAGTAAAAAGATTCAATATTCGAGTGATAATTTACGTGTTATGGGCGATTAATGGTTATTTTTTATCATTATCATGATTATGTGCAACTATATTCCTGTAATATGCTGTAACTCAATTGTATGTATTAAATGCGTTAAATGAGCCGATTTAATGGACCTCGCCTATTTACATAGTGCATTCGGTTTGAAAAGGCGGGGCTATTAAGTGTAAGTCGGTTATAGGTTATATACAGAGTTTTAAGAAACTAATTTTCTCGCTTCACTTCGTTCGCTGGAAAATTAATTTCTTAAAACTCTGTATATAACCTATAACCTATACTTAGATCTATCTATAATTAAATGTGTTTATTAATTTATCTGCTCTTTTCACTTAAACGTCGTATAAGTCAGATACAGTTACTCGTATTTTCTTCAAAAGCGTCTTCTTACAGTTGTGAAGCAGTCAGTTCGCTAGGACAAACAACAATTTATCCTCGGCTTCGCCTCGGACAATTTGTTGTTTATCCTAGCAAACTGACTTCTTACGTCTGACACTTTTGAAGAAAAACTCGTACTGTATCCATTACAAATACAGTTATTTTTTTCCAATAAAGTTTTACCTATTTCTGCAAATATAAAACATTTACGATTTAAAATCATCATTATGTACATCTGTACATGGTGTGAACCATAACGCTCAAATTATTTCATAATACCTTTGCAAAGCTAACATCTCTCTTGCTAGAGGCCATGACATCTAATCATTGACAAGCAGACATTTCTTTTTCTAGAGGTCATGACTTTTACACTAACTCCCATTAAAATTTTATAGAAAAATTGCATATGTACACTTGTATAAAAAGTTGTCCAATAGGCGTTGTTTCCCTTGATTATTCAACTATGATTTGAAGAAAACCAATTTTCTCTTCAGACAGGTCCTATTTTGACCACCAAGCTATAACTTGAACAAGGGGGCCATTGGCTCCAAAACACTCACCTGAAGACAGACTGTTATAGTGAGAACTTGTTTATTACAAGAATTTGAACGATGTTGGTCGCTAGACGCGGGAAAAGAATAATTGATGTCCGCACATGCGTCGATTATCTCCGTGGCGTCTGCTATGGGCTGCAATTGCATTGTATCGAATGGTTCCGTAACCCATACTTTGCAGAAATTCACGGAAATATAAAGTAAGGTTTATACCCAAAATAATAAATTTAAAGGTATAGGGTCAATATTGCTGAAAATAAAGTGAAACTGAGCCTATACTTTATTTTCAGCTCAATTGAGCCTACACCTTTAAATTCAGTTAAATGCCTTTAGTTGGCAGCAGAACCAGTACCTTTAAATCTTTCAGCAATGTTTCATATTTTACAGGACACATATTTACAATTGAAACTACTGTATAAATTCATATGTTACACATGTTATAGAAACATGATATTTTCAAATGCAGTTCTAATTTATTAATACAAAATTAAGTTTGTTCACCAGGGTGAGCTATTAGTATCAAAGGGGGATGCTCCGGCGTCCGTCGTCATCAATCGTCTTCTTCTCTGAAACTACTGGGCAGATTTGGTCTGTAGCATCCTTGTGACAGTCACACTTGAATTTGCTCATGTCATTCCAATTGGCCCCTTTTAGGGGTCAGCAGAGGTAAAAATAGAAAATCCTTAAAACATCTTCTTCTACAGAACTAATTGATGGATGATCACCAAACTTTGTCTGTAGCATTCTTGGGTAGTCTTTTATCAAGTTTGCTCATATTAATTTGATTAGCCCCTTTTAGGGGTCTCTAGGGATAAAAATAGAAAAACCTTTAAACATCTTTTTCTACAGAACTAATGGATGGATGATCACCAAACTTTGTCTGTAGCATTCTTGGGTAGTGTTTTATCAAGTTTGCTCATATGAATTTGATTGGTCCATTTTAGGGGCCGCTAAAGCTAAAAATAGAAAAAACCTTTAAACGTCTATTTCTAGAGAACTAATTGATGGATGATCACCAAACTTTGTCTATAGCATTCTTAGGTAGTCTTTTATCAAGTTTGCTAATATTATTACGCCAGTAGTTGTAGTGAATTATTCCACCCTGCCAAAAATCATTCAAGTTGAAAACCTGTGTTACATGCGCAAGTACTTGAGCTACTAATCAATCCTGTAAAGTTTCAATGAAATTGCATAAGTGGTATAGAGGAGTATGCTGGACAAACATTATTAACACCTTTTTATTCAAGGGAAATAACTGCGCTAAAAATTATTCAAGTAGAAAACCTGTGTAATAGGCGTGTAATATGCGCAAGTACTTGAGCTATTAATCAAGGATTTAGCTCAATACAGGATTGGAGCAGAACCTCTAGACGCTTGCAGAAATCATGATCACAAAATAGACAAATATCGTTTTTTTCGCCGAATTTTACATTTTTCCTTGATTATCGTACTTGATTCGGTGTGAAAAGATGAATTAGACCTGTTAAAGTTCATTCCGTTGGGTAAAAAGACAAGATTTTAGCATTTTATCATTCAAGCGCCTTGTCCGGTATATACCGGAATACGGTATTTAGTGTGGTGCTCCAATCCTTTTTTCAGTCACAGCCATTAATCAATCCTGTAATGTTTCAATGAAATTGCATTAGTAGTAAAAGAGGAGTAGTCCAGACAAACTTTGAAAAT